AAAAAAAAAAAAAAGATGTCCACCTCATTGAAAGTGCTTTTCCAAATTGGCCCAGTCCGGATGTCTCTCTCAGGGTTAACTCTCAGGGTAGGGATAGAACAGAGAAAAGTGACTCTGGGTAACTTTTAATAATATATATAAAGTATTGAGTTGATGCAAATAATTAATTTGAAAGATATCTCATAGGTCCATATTCCTTTTAAATTAATTAGTGTTATTCTGTGTTTCCAGGAGTATATCCTCAAAGGAGTGGTCAATGCAGCCCTTGGCCAGGAAATGGGTTCGGTGAGTATGAAATCGCTGGTAACCTATAGTTTGCAAAGCTATAGTCTGTGGAAAAGATCAAAATAGATGTCAAGGTTCAACCGGCAGAAAGCTTACAAATGAGCTCTTCTGCAGTTCCTTTCTGCACATCCCCAATTCAGGTTCCATTGTAAAAAGAATTCTGTGTTAGTTAAAGCCAAAAAAAGACAGCTTTAGCCCTAATAATTGCTGCTTTGTTTGAAAAAAGCCTAATTTTTAAAGTGTTTCTATCTAATAACAGCAACAACAAATCATTGCACAGCTTCATTCTTACTTTCAGTGACTTTTTTTTAACCTTATATACCTCCAAGCTGTAATTTTGGCATATGTAAAATGGGGATAATTGTTTCTCTGGGAAAGCTTTTCATGAACACAAAAACACTGTCTAAAATTAAGTGCTTATTCATCTTAATATGGCATACTAAGTTCTTTTTGAAACAAAGTGGGATATAATTAAATCCTTTTATCTCTAGCTCACTCCACAGTGCCTCATATAGTAGATAGGTAGTAGATAGTTATTGAATAAATGAATGAGTTTATTTAATAAATACTCTTTGTTATAACCATAGCTCCTACCACAAGGTCTGATATATGATAAAAGAGCAATAAATATTTGTTTTACAAATGAGTCAGTGAATGAGTTCATTTAATGAAGGTACTTTTAGGATAGAATTTGGGGGTTGGATTTTCTTTTCTTCTTTTCTATCTAACCCTGAATAGGTTTTAATTCATATTCAAGTTATCATTATCTAGTTGGTTATGCTAATAAGAACTAGTATTGTTTGGGGAGGGATTTAGAATATGAGTATATGTGAAATCCTGACAAATATGTTAAAACCATAAAGTATAATACAAATAAAATATTTGCAGCTTATTCCTCTGTATCAACTCTGCTTTGTTTCTCAGCGGGATCATATGAAAATTGCCCAGCAGTTCTTCCAGTTGGTGGGAGGATCAGCTAGTGAATGTGGTATGTCTGAAATCTGCTTAGGAGCATGATTCCTAATTGGAGCTGGTCATATATTGATTGGGGAAGTTTGAGTCTCTGTCTAGGGATACATCTGCTTGGCTTCCCATTATGAAGTAGGAAGTCAGATACAGGAGAGAATATTGGATTAGCTCTTCTCAACATCTCAGCTAAAGTGGGATGAGAGAGTACATATAAATAGAGGAGAATAAATGTATTCTTTAGTTCATGAGAGTTTTAAAAATTGGATTCTGTTTTTTATTTGAAATGTTAACTTTTATTGATTTTTCAAGAGCTCTTTAAGTATTAAACTTTTTTCATGTTGTAGATATTTTTTTTCAGTGGGTCATTTGCCTTTTAACTCTGCCTATGGTATTTTTTCCCATATAAAAGTATTTAAATCTTATTTAATTATGTTTATCTTTTCTATAATGATTTCTTACATGGGTATCAAGTTTAGAAAGTGCTTTCTTACTCCCACAGTTATATAATATTCACCTATCCCGCCAGTAGTTTTGTGGCTTCATTTTTATTATTAAAATATCGATTTCATCAGTCAAGATTCCATGTAAGATTTGAGAAAGGGCTGCTGGTTAGCGAGTATGAACCGATATGGCTGTCTGTACCAGTTGTCTACGGTCAGCCATCTGTTCTGATGAACGATATTCATGCTGAACTGGTTGTTAAATATTTTATCACCCCTGGATTTTCATTTTCTTTCAAATGTTTCACCAAAACCATTTATTTTTTTTAAATTTTATTTATTTATTTATTTTTTCCCCCAAAGCCCCAGTAGATAGTTGTATGTCATAGCTGCACATCCTTCCAGTTGCTGTATGTGGGACATGGCCCCAGCATGGCTGGAGAAGCGGTGCGTCGGTGTGTGCCCGGGATCCAAACCCCGGGCCGCCAGCAGCGGAGCGTGCGCGCCCAACCGCTAAGCCACGGGGCCGGCCCCAAAACCATTTATTGAATAGTAGTTCCTTTCCCCATTTCATTCATTCATGCAACAAAAATTTGTTGAGGTGTTGGGGATACGGCAGTAAACAAAACGAACAAAACCCCTTACCCTTGTGCAGCATAGAGTCTATTGGGACAGGCTATAAACATAATTAATAAATAGATTATATAGTATATCCGATTGTGAAAAAAAATTGAACAGAGTGAGGAGGATGGGGAGTGCCAGTGGCAAGGGTGAGGAGTTATACTAATCCTCTGCTACCTCAAAGAGGACTTTGATATCAGACAAAAAGTTCCTCAGGATCAGATGGTTCCATGACAAATTATATCTCCATTTGAGATTGGAAGTGCTAGATTGTCTTAGACAAATGATGATGGAAATTAAGTTGTGTTTGGGCCGGCCCCGTGGGTTAGTGGTTAAGTGCACGTGCTCCGATGCTGGCGGCCCGGGTTCGGATCCCGGGCGCGCACTGACGTACCGCTTCTCCAGCCATGCTGAGGCCGTGTCCCACATACAGCAACTAGAAGGATGTGCAACTATGACATACAACTATCTACTGGGGCTTTGGGGGGAAAATAAATAAATAAAATTATTAAAAAAAAAAATGCAACGTGTGGCAGGCAGCCCATCAATGGGCAGGGCACTCGGGACCTGCACACCTCTTAAAAAAAAAAAAAAAAAGTTGTGTTAGTTGAGTGTGCAAGTGTTGGAGTTGGGTGAGAGAATCAAAGCCCTGGAAAAAGATCTGGGGAATACTGTAGCCTGCGGTGCACGTGTTCATTTCGGACTCTGAGAGTTAACCCCGAGAGAGATTATTGGACACCCTCAAGTACTGTGACCTCTATTATCCTAAGGTTTTGTCCACTGAACAAAATCTATAATCTAAGAAATATGCCTTGGAATACATTCCTCTCTCTAAGTTATAAAGTAACTCAAATTTCAGCAAAAGAGAACTTTAGTTTCATGAATACACTAGGTTTCTTTTCCCGTTCCATTTCAGATACAATACCAGGGAGGCAGTGTATGGCTTCCTGTTTCTTCCTGCTTAAGCAATTTGATGATGTCTTGATTTACCTCAACTCGTTTAAGGTCAGTATAGAATTTTCTAGGTGACTTTGTATACAAAATACTGTATATAATGTGTTAGAGATAAGATACTCTTAGAGATGGCCCTTTTATGGTGGCATTAGTGGCATCAGTTAATTCCTTAAAATTGGTTTTGTGTTTATCTGATATAACTGATGTTTTTATATTTTATATGTTAATTCTCAATGAGACCTGTTCTTGGGATGTTTTTCAGAGTTACTTCTATAATGATGACATCTTTAACTTTAATTATGCCCAAGCCAAAGCTGCAACAGGCAATACTAGTGAGGGTGAAGAGGTGGGTACCTGCTTTTGAAGGCATTTGAATGATTCTATCTAAAAACATCTTTTTCTCACTGAAATAAAATGTTCAAGGGTAAAGGCTTATTAAAAGTTCCTTTGATCTTAGGTTACATTAAAAAGTACAATGTGAATAGACATATGTATTTTATAACCACATTAATGTTTTCCTTTTTTTGATAAATTTTATAAAAGCATGACATACATAGAGAAAAGTATACAAATCTAAGGATATAGCTTATGAGTTTTTAAAGTGTACATACCCAAATAATCAGTACCCAGATCATGAAACAGAATATTATTAGAACCCTAGAAACCCCCCTTGTCTCCTTTTTGAGTCAGTCCCTTTCCCCCAAGACTAACCACTGTCTTGACTTCTAACTCTGTAGATTGATTTATCTGAATTATTCAATTCAATTTTATTATTCAACAAATTATTCAACTTATTATTATTAAAATTCTAATTATTTTCTAATTTCTATTATGATTTATTCTTTGACTGTGGGTTATTTTAAAATGTGTTTCATGATTTTCAAATATGTTTGTTATTCTTTCAAGGTTATTTTATTTTGATTTCTAATTTAATTATATTGTGGTCATAGAATGCGGTCAGTATAATACCAGTACTTTAAAATTTTTTGAGACTTGCTTTATTGCCCAGTGGCATGGTCATAAGTTCTTGAAAAGAATATGTATTGTGCAGTTATTGATTATTCTGTTACAATCTTCTATATCCTTACCACCTTTTTGCCAGCTTGTGATATCAATAACTGAGAGAAGCATGTTAAAATCAAATTTTGTCCTTTACTTTTCTTAGCAGCCTATATAGAATTTGGTCATCTATGAGGCTACGTTAATCATTAATCTAAGGCAAGCTGATATGGATATTTTTATTGGAAAAGCATCTGCATGTTTATTCCCTTTCTTTCTCTTCCTGCAGGTTTTCCTTTTAATCCAAAGTGAGAAGATGAAAAATGATTACATTTACCTCAGTTGGTTAGCTCGGTGCTGTGAGTCTCCTTTTAAATGTCACAAAGGAATCCTCTTTTTCTTCTCTGTTGCATAATCTTCTGGATAGAAATTACACTGAGCGTTTTCTAATTTTGTTTTGCAGAATGAGTAAACACTGAAATTAAGAGTCAGTAAGGGCGGCCATATGCGTGTGTTGTAAACGTTTACCCTGTAATTAATTCTACCATGCAACATGGACCTAACATGAACAGTTTTGAAAGATGCCGGGTTCTTCCTTTAGCTCTGTTAAAATTTCCACAGTCTCAGTTTATAGCATTTTTTGTTAAATGATATTGTTATGCTAATTTTACCTTTTCACTATGGTGCAGGCCTGAAAAGTGGTAAAATGTCAAAAACATAATTTTTTGCATATTATATAGCCTATAGTCTCTGTCTGTCTGTCTCTTCACTTTCTTGCTCCTTTTTTTCACTTGGATTTAAAATGTTCACTGAGCATTTGAAGTCACAGGAAAATGTTAGCAATCAGATATTCTAAGTGAAGCTGAAACTATATGAGCAGGATTGATAAATGATAGGTGACTTTTAAGCAGATGAGCAAAGTGGTAACTACTGGAAATCAACCCAATCTAAAAAAAATAATTATGTGAATCCTAACGTAAACATTTTAATTGTGGTGGAGGTCTGATGGGGAACCAGCTTATGCCAACCTTGCAAGCTTTCCATGTAAGAGCTGTTTACTATTACTTTGTATATTTGGAACATAGAACCAAATCCATAGAATAGCAAGATGCAGAAGTGTATTTCTTTACATTTATAAATCTTTGTTTCTTTTTGTAGATATCATAAATAAGAAACCGAGACAAGCCTGGGAACTTTATCTCAAGATGGAAACCTCTGGAGAGTCCTTCAGCCTCTTACAGCTCATTGCTAATGACTGCTACAAGGTGAGTCTGAGTGAGCCCTAAAGGGAAAATTGAAGAACAGTTTCACACTGCTGCATTGACTAAATATTAAGGAAAAGTGTCCTAGAGATTAAATGGCTATTGGTGAGAGGATTTGCATAGTGATATCAGGAATGTCATCCCTTTTATGAATGAACTGAACTCAGAGATAGCATTTCAGGGTTTTATATATATAAATAAACATGTATACATATAAATGAAATATGAAATAATGTATATGAAATAATGTATATGAAATAATGATTTAGAGAGGAGGTTTTAAATTTCTAAAGGCTGTGAATCTTTAGATACCATTTAGGTAGAGATATTCATCTGGTAGTTGGAAATTTGGTTCTGAAGCTCAAGAAAGATGTCCTCTGACATATAGAGACATAGATTTGGAGAAATCATCACCATTTCACTAGTAATTGAAGCCCTGGAAAACAGTAAGATTACCCAGGTAAGGAAGTAAAGTGAGAGGAGTAGAGAGCTGCACACCAAACCTTGGGAAATACTACAGTACAAATAGGAGACAGGAAAGGCAAAGGAACCAGAAGAAGAGAATGCAAAAGCAGTCAGATTTAGTAAAGAACGGGCTGTGTGTGTGTTGTGTGTGTGTGTGTGTGTGTGTGTGTGTGTGTAGGGAATTGGAAAGGCAGGGAGGAAGAAGGAGTTTTGGGCCCTATCCTATATATTAAAAGCTTTTTTCAAAATTAGCCTCAAATTCTGGAAATTCCTATTTTTGGAATATTTCTTCCTGTCCAAAAGACAGGAAAATGTCAGGTAAAGAGGTAAATGTCTAGTGTTAAATTAATCAATAATAGCTCATTTCAAAATGAATCATTACAAAATGAATCACCATCAATGGAAAAGGGTTTAAGACATAGGAAACTTGAAAATGTTTAACATGACTTGGTGGATGACAGTGATGTTAAGTGAGTTAGGGGAGGCAGAGGGAAAGAAAACATTAAAAGCCAGCGATTTAGTTCAGTTTTAGATGTATTAAATCTGAAGTGTGTTTGGGGCTCCCAGATAGAGATGTTACATGTGTGAACTTATCAGGGTGAGCCTGGAGCTCAGGGGTTCATGTGAGAGGTCAGGATTAGAGATGTAGTTTTAGAAGTCAACAGTAGTTCACGGTGGTGGTGGTGGTGGTGGGGGCGGTAGGGGCAGCAGCAGTAGTACCAGCAGAGAATGGGAGAGAATGAGATTAACCAGTGAACTGGGTGAGGAACCATGTGGAACACCAGTATTTACGGGATAGAAATAGCAAGAAGTATCAGTGAAAGAGACAGAGGATGAAGATGAACAGAAAGGACAGAAAAGAAGGAAGAAGGAGAGAGAAAAAAACGTACTTTTCATTACTCTTTTTCTTGTTCCTGTTTTTTCAAAAGCCAAGGAAGGAGAATGTCAAATCTGCAACTAGATGGAGTTGCATGAGGCCTGAGAAAACAGTAGTAGGTGGAGAAGAGAATCAGATTAGAAAGCGGGTTCAGTGAGTGTACTGTAGACCACAGTCTTAAAAAATTTGAGGCTGAGGATAAGGAGAAAAATGTGATGCTAACTTAAAAGGGAAAACAGGGCTAAAGATTTTTCAGGAAGGGATTTATTTTTGCAGATGGAGAGAGAGTTCTTTTTCTTTTAGAATGGAGAGTAAGAGTGTGTCTTTAGGCAGAGGAAAAGGAGCCACTGAACAGGGAGATTAAAGATTCAAGAGAGTGGAAGCATTTTTGATGGAGTAAGACCCTAAAGGAGAAGAGCAGAGGATGGGGTTAAGATCAAAGGAAGATAACAACCTTGAAAAACAGTTTGGCGTTACCTAGTGTCTCAGTGGTCCCACGACCACCCACTAGTTCAGTGATTCTCTGGAAGAACTCATGCCACTCAACATAAAGTTATACTAATGGCTAAGATTTATCACAATACAGAAAAAGCAGGAAAATGATACGTATGGCAAAGACTAGAGAGGTCACTCGTAGGCTTGTCCTCCCTCTGTGAAGATTGCACAGTCATGTCCTTCTCCAGCTGCGAACTGCAGAGACATCTGTGAGATGTCCTTGTCCAGGAAAAACAGAAAGGACGAATAGGGAAAAATGGCAGAGTTAAGTCCTAACATATCAATAATTGCATTAAATGTAAATAGTCTAAATACACCAGTTAAAAGACAGATATTGACAGAGTGGATAAAAATCCATGACCCAACTAACTATGTGCTCTCTGTAAGAAGCTCCCTTCAAATATAACAATATAGGTAGGTTGAAAGTAACAGGATGGAAGAAGATATACCATGAAATAGTTAGGCAGTTTCTTGAGCAAACAAATATACACTTACCATACAGCCCAGCAATCACACTCCTGGCATTTATCCCAGAGAAATGAAAACCTGTATCCGTACAAATACCTATTCACAAATGTCAATAGCTGCTTTATTTGTAATAGCCCAAAACTGGAAGCAATCCAAGTGTCCTTCAGCAGGAGAATGGTTAAACAAACTGTGGTTTGGCATGGAATACTACTCGGTAATAAAAAGGAACTGTGATGACAAGCCTGATTCCCTTTTTTGAAGTTTGACTGATGACAGCTTTTAAGCCTCACCCCTCCCTCTTCCCCTTGTGCCCACATCTGGACAAAATGATAAGAAAGCCAGGGTACTCCCTTTTCTGGCGCCATTGGGTGATTCAAACTACACAAGCCCCTGCCCGTGCTCAGGTGCCCTCACCCTGACCCCACCTCCTAACCACAGTAAAAACCCAGTCTCCTTTTCATGTTCTCTCAGGCTGTTTTCAACCTGCTTGAGAGGCCTGCCCTACTCTCCCCAGAGACCTCAATTATATAAGAAACCTTTTCATACCCTCTTGGTGTGTGTGTGCCATCATCATTCTCGAATTCCAAACCAAACTTTGGGTGGAGGACCCTCCTGCATTTTCAGGGTTATACAACAGGAGCGCACTATTGATACAAGCAATAGCTTAGGTTAACAAAGAATAACAAGGATATTATGCTGAGTGAAAAAAGCCAATCTTAACGAGTCCCATATTGTTTGATTTCATATATATAACAAGCTTGAAATGACAAAATTTAGACATGTAGAACAAATTAGTCATTGCCAGAGGTTAGGGACAGTGAGCAGGGAGGGGAGTGCATGTGACTATAAAAGGGCAGCACAGCTTTGTGCTGATGGAATAGTTCTTTATCTTGATAGAGGTGGTGGTTATATGAACCTACGCATTTGATAAAGTGACAACTATACATACACGTCGTAGCGATGTCTGTTTCCTTGTTTTGATATTGTACTATAGTTACATAAGCTGTAAACGGGGGAAATTGGGTTAGAGGTACATGGGATTTCTCTGTACTATCTTTGTAACTTCCTGTAAGTCTATATAATATCAAAATAAAAAGTTTTTAAAAAAGGAACCAAGTAGAGCTATATCCAGCAATATAGATGAAGCTTAAAAACATATGCAAGACACAAAAGAATATTTACAGTATTAATTCATATAGATAAAGTTCTGAGAGGCAAAACTCAATTATATTGTCTAAAGATGTATACACAGGTGATAAAAAAAAGTCAAAGAACTGATGACCATAAAAGTTCGATTAGTAGCTACTTCTGGAGGGAAGGAGAGAGTTCTAGTCTAGAAGTGACACAGAGAGAGCTTCTGTTTTGCTGTTGATGTTTTGTTTCTTGACCTGGGTGGTGCTTACACTTGTATTCACGTTATACAGGCATACCGCTGAGAAATTGTGGGTTCAGTTCTAGACCATTGCAATAAAGAAAATATCACAATGAAGCGAGTCACATGAATTTTTTGGTTTCCCAGTGCATATAAAAGTTATGTTTGCACTATACTGTAGTCTGTTAAATATGCAGTAGCATTGTGTCTAAAAAAACAGTGTACATACCTTAATTAAAGAATTCTTTATTGCTAAAAAAATGCTAACCATCATCTGAGCCTTCAGCGGGTGGTAATCTTTTTGCTGGTGGAGGGTCTTCCCGCGATGTCAATGGCTGCTGACTGATCAGGGTGGTGGTTGCTGAAGGCTGGGGTGGCTGTGGCAACTTCTTAAAATAAGACAACAATGAAGTCTGCAGCATCTATTGACTCTTCCTTTCACAAATGATTTCTCTGTGGCATGCGATGCTGCTTGATAGCATTTTACCTACAGTAGAACTTCTTTCAAACTTGGAGTCAGTCCTCTCAAACCCTGCCACTGCTTTATCAACTAAGTTTATCTAATATTCTAAATCCTTTGTCGTCATTTCAACAATCTTCACAGCATCTTCACCAGGAGTAGATTCCATCTCAAGAAACTGCTTTCTTTGCCATCAATAAGAAGCAACTCCTCATCTGTTAAAGTTTTATCATGAGATTGCAGCAATTCAGTGACATCTTCAGGCTCCGCTTCTAATTCTAGTTCTCTTGCTGTTTCTACCACATCTGCAGTTACTTCCTCCACTGAAGTCTTGAACCCCTCAAAGTCATCCATGAGGGTTGGAATCAACTTCTTCCAAACTCCTGTTAATGTTGGTATTTTGCCCTCTTCCGATGAATCACGAATTTTCTTATGTATTTATTTATTTTTTGTGTGAGGAAGATCGGCCCTGAGCTAACATCTGCCAATCCTCCTCTTTTTTTGCTGAGGAAGATTGGCCCTGGGCTAACACGCATGCCCATCTTCCTCCACTTTATATGGGACGCCGCCACAGCATGGCCTGACAAGTGGTGCGTCGGTGCGTGCCCGGGATCCGAGCCGGCGAACCCCATGCCGCCACAGTGGAGCGCACTCACTTAACTGCTTGCACCACCGGGCCAGCCCCACGAATTTTCTTAATGGCATCTAGAATGGTGAATCCTTTCCAGAAGGTTTTCAATTTACTTGGCCCAGATCCATCAGAGGAATCACTATCTATGGCAGCTATAGCTTTACAAAATGTATTTCTTAAATAATAAGACTTGAAAGTCAAAATTACTCCTTGATCCATGGGCTGCAGAATGGATATTGTGTTAGCAGGCATGAAAATAACATTAATGTCATACATCTCCATCAGAGCTCTTGGGCCACCAGGTGCATTGTCAGTGAACAGTAATATTTTGAAAGAAATCTTTTTTTCTGAGCAGTAAGTCTCAACAGTGGGCTTAAAATATTCAGTAACCCATGTTGTAAACAGATGTGCTGTCATCCAGGCTTTATTATTCCATTTACAGAGTACAAGCAGAGTAGACTTAGCATAATTCTTAAGGGCCCTGGGATTTTCGGAATGGTAAATGAACGTTGGCTTCAACTTAAACTCACCAGCTGCATTAGCTCCTAACAAGAGAGTCAGCCTGTCCTTTGAAGCTTCAAAGCCAGGCACTGACTTCTGTCTAGCTATGAAAGTCTTAGATGGCATCTTCTCCCAATATAAGACTGTTTTGTCTACATTGAAAATCTGCTGTTTAGTGTAGCCACCTTCATGAATTGTCTTAGCTAGATCTTCTGGATGAGTTGCTGCAGCTTCTACATCAGTACTTGCTGCTTCACTTTGCACTTTTATGTTATAGAGGTGTCTTCTTTCCTTAAACCTCATGAACCAACCTTTGCTAGCTTCATACTTTTCTTCTGCAGCTTCCTCACCTTTCTCAGCCTTCATAGAGTTGAAGAGAGTTAGGGCCTTGCTCTGGATTAGGCTTTGGCTTAAGGGAATGTTATGGCTGGTTTGATCTTCTTTTTTTTTTTTTTTTTTATTAATTAATTTATTTATTTTTTCCCCCAAAGCCCCAGTAGATAGTTGTATGTCATAGCTGCACATCCTTCTAGTTGCTGTATGTGGGACGCAGCCTCAGCATGGCCAGAGAAGCGGTGCGTTGGTGCACGCCCGGGATCCGAACCCGGGCCGCCAGCAGCGGAGCGCGAGCACTCAACCACTAAGCCACGGGGCCGGCCCTGGTTTGATCTTCTATCCACTAAAACTTTCTCTATATCAGCATTAAGGCTGTTTCGCTTTCTTATCATTCATGTGTCCACTGGAGTAGCATTTTTAATTTCCTTCAAGAACTTTTCCTTTGTATTCACAACTTTGCTGAGTGTTTGGTGCAAGAGGCCTAGCTTTCAGCCTATGTCAGCTTTTCGACATGACTCCCTCACTAAGCTTAGTCATTTCTAGCTTTTGATTTAAAGTGAGAGACGTGTGACTCTTCCTGTGAACATTTAGAGGCCATCGTAGGGTTATTAATTGGCTTAACTTCGATATTGTTGTGTCTTGGAATAGGAAAGCCCGAGGAGAGGGAGAGAGATGGGGGACGGCCAGTTAGTGGAGCAGTCAGAACACACACATTTATTAAGTTCGCTGTCTTATATGGGCACGGTTCGTGGTGCCCCAAAACAATTACAATAGTAACATCAAAGATCACTGATCACAGTCACCATAACAAATATAATAATAATGAAAAAAGTTTGAAATATTGCAAAAATTACCAGAATGTGACACAGAGACACGAAGTGAGCAAATGTTGTTGGAAAAATGGCGCCAATAGGGTTGCTCAATGCAGGGTTGCCACAGACTTTCAATTTGTAAAAAACACAGTATCTGTGAAGTGAAATGAAGCAAAGCACAATAAAACAAGGTATGGCTATAAGTCATTAAACTGCACATTTATGTTTCATGCACCATTCTATATGTGTGTTATTTCACATACGCACTCACAAATTTTAAGAGAACTTAGGAAGAAGGATTAACCTTAAAAAGGAATAAGAACACTTCTTCCTGTGAGATAGGCAGAAAAGAGGGAAGGATGAATGAAGGTATAAGTATGATTTGAACTGAAGGGAGGAAAGTTGTATTTTCTCTATGAAGTATAGAAAAAAGTTAAGAATGCGATAGAGATCTTAAAGAAATTGGCGGGGCCGGCCCCGTGGCTTAGTGGTTAAGTGTGCGCGCTCTGCTACTGGCGGCCTGGGTTCAGATCCGGCGTGCACCAATGCACCGCTTGTCCGGCCATATTGAGGCGGCGTCCCACATACAGCAACTAGAAGGATGTGCAACTATGACATACAACTATCTATTGGGGCTTTGGGGAGAAAAAGGGGGAAAAAAAGGAGGAGGATTGGCAATAGATGTTAGCCCAGGGCCGTCTTCCTCGGCAAAAAAAAAAGAGGAGGATTGGCATGGATGTTAGCTCAGGGCTGATCTTCCTCACAAAAAAAAAAAAAAAAAGGAAAGTGGCAAAAGTTTAGAACAACAGTTTACAGGATTGGAGAGGTAACTAAACCACAGTGAGTAAGGAGGATTGCCTAGCAGTTTGAAGCCTTCAGTGAAATTGGTAAATGTACATTTATGAGTGCCAATCAAGAAAACTCATCTAAGCAAAATTTAATGGTATTCAGCATGTCCTATGAGGCCAAGGAAATGTATAGTATATTTGAGAAAGAGGTCTGTCAAAATGAATTAAATGCTTAAAAGATTTGGTGTTTAGAGTAGTGGTCAGTATACATCTATGCAGTCAGAATTTAGGAACAGGGTCACGGAAGGACCATCCTCTTGGGTTGAATATGATCGAATTAGCTTAAAATGAATGATGGTAGTCATCTACAGAATGTATTGCGGAAACATGAAAAATGCCCAGTTCAAATCATAGTCATCTGAGTTTATCCTAAAGATTAGACTACAATTAGAAGAAATGACAAATGTGTCTATTATAGCATAACTTGACTATGTGTAGAAAAAAATGTTATATTATTGAAAACTGAATGAAGGCAGGCTGATTTAAATTGAACCCGTGTACCCAAACTATGATTTTCCTTCTTGTTTTAATAAGGAATTGAAATGTATCTAATTTGCTAACTGAAAATGTAGTCATTACCCATGCACTTGTTTCATACAGTTCTATTTCATGGTATCTTTACATTTAGTTTTATTCGGTGCAACCTTTTAACTACAAGTATTACCACAACACTTTCTTTTTTTCAGATGGGCCAGTTTTACTATTCAGCCAAAGCATTTGATGTCTTAGAGAGACTGGATCCCAACCCTGAATATTGGGAAGGCAAGAGAGGTGCCTGTGTGGGCATTTTCCAAATGATCTTAGCTGGGAGAGAACCCAAGTAAGTAGACAGACAAGAACACTACTTCTTCATTTGCTGGTTTGTGGGTGAAAGAATTGTTTTCTTGGATGACATCTTCTGAAAACTCAAAATTATAATGATGTTTTAGAATGATAAATAAAAGTTTAAGATGTTTTATATTTCTATCTGACCTTTTTCCTCCAAAAATTTTTAATTTTTTAGAATCAGATCATTCTAAATCATACATACTGGGGACATTGAGTATACTACAGCTGTCAAATATAAGAGCAAGATACATATTTAGCTGCAATATGAACTGCCATTTTCATAAACAAAGTCTTTTTCAATCTCTTCTACTTTTTTGCCTGTTGGCTTTTTCTTATATGTTTCAGTTTAGGCCTCAAAGAATTAGGAATGGAGTGGGTGTGGTTGATAATTCTTTCTTTTTTCTTTTGCGCTCTCATATTTTAGGAAATACTGAGACTTAGATCAAAATTAAGTGGCATATAGCTCCATTTGTAACAAAAATTAAAATACTTAAAACTAAATTCAGTTTTCAAAACATAACTTCATGGAATGTATTCGTTACTGATGTATGAGTAGGAGATGTGATTATTTTATAAGTTAATAATCTATCAAAAATTACTTGGGGCCGGCCCGGTGGCGCAAGCAGTTGGGTGCGCGCGCTCCGCTGCGGCGACCCGGGGTTCGCTGGTTCGGATCCCGGGCGCGCACCGACGCACTGCTTTGGCAAGCCATGCTGTGGCGGCGTCCCATATAAAGTGGAGGAGGATGGGCACGGATGTTAGCCCAGGGCCGTCTTCCTCGGCAAAAAAAAAAGAGGAGGATTGGCGGATGTTAGCACAGGGCTGATCTC